GGGGGAGGGGGGGGGGCTTTATGGCTTCCACACTTCTTGCTAACATCCTCTATATTTTCAAATCAAAGCCCCCCTCTTTAGTGTTCTCTAAAGTCCTTGTTACAATACACTTTTGATTGACAAAAGCAAAACCCCTACTTTCAGCCAACAATCTCCAGTAGCCTAGTTCATGCAATACTGAAGGATGCTATCCTGCATGTATGTGGTATCTTACTTGTAAGATATTTGGCAGGTCAACATTATCGCACACTTCATATTTCATCAGTCCGGTTCCTCCTTCTCTTTCCAAAACTCTGGCTGCGTCTAAATATCTGGGGAGAAAACAAAGTACTTTAGGCTGGGATGATACAGTATTGTACTTGTTGGTTCTTGCCTGTGCTTTAAGGGTGTCTCTCCTGGCTGCAATCCCCATCCCCCCCTACACCCATCCCGACTCACCACCCCTACCCCTACCCCTACCGTCTACCCACCATCCACCCTCAAAAACAAGCTTTGCCAAATGCACATTAAACAATTTTTTTAGTTCAAAAATAGGTCAATATACACAAACAAATTCGTTAAATCATAAGATCCACGGTTAGATATATAGTTTATTGAATATATTTATATAAACAAAACATATAAATTCATTATGGGAATGTTTTTTTTTAATTGATAAACAAAACGACAGCGAGTCGTGGGCTAGACAATTTTAACAACTTACCCTTCATCTCTGAGGTAATGAAGAATAAGAACAAGTAACGTTCTTTTTCTGTGTTCAAGCCGAACCTCTTCCTACATAAAACAGTTTTGAAAGGATTCATGATCAAGTAAAAGATTAAGTAATGAAATAATATAAAAGACATTCTTTACAAACAATTTCTCAACTTTCATTCGAATAAAAAAAGATCTGTTCTTTACCGCTTGTCTAGCTTCATTAGCAGTCTTTAGCTGCACATAACTGAGCTCCTGGCTCATTGAAAACCGGAGAAAAGGACGTTTATTACGAGGGTCAAACTGAGATCCTTGTTGTCAAGGAGGAGACGCCATTTTGAAACGATCGCTGGCACGGTATTGCTCAGCGGTTTACCTAGAGAACCCATCAACAACCAACTGCTGTTGACTTTTATGTCCCTTTTATATGTCCCTTTTATATGTCCCTTTTATATGTCCCTTTTATATGTCCCTTTTATATGTCCCTTTTATATGTCCCTTTTATATG